CCAAACTTGAAAAGTTCATTTACTGATTGGTTTGGTAGGATGAAAGTTTGTGGACAATACTCATACATCTCCGACCTCAGCCAGCAAATTCAGGTTTCAAATCTTAAAAAGTATTGAAGCTGAATACACAACTTTCAGAACATAATAAGAACTTTAATTGTGATTACCATTTAAAAGAACAAGTTTTAGACTGACCCAAACTGGGTTGTAATAACTAGAACAACCCAAACCCACCTCCCAAATTCCCATTCACTGTAATTACAAGAACACATCACTGAATAACTTCTTAGCCATCTGAATTCTGATAACCTAACCACCAAAACCGTACAGGGTCCTTCCCTGCCTCTTCAAGGCATACACCACATCCATGGCAGTAACAGTCTTCCTGCGCGCATGCTCAGTGTAGGTGACGGCATCTCTGATCACATTCTCCAGAAAGATCTTGAGAACTCCACGCGTTTCTTCATAGATCAGCCCCGAAATACGCTTCACTCCGCCACGACGAGCAAGCCTGCGGATAGCCGGCTTCGTAATACCTTGGATGTTGTCGCGGAGAACCTTCCTGTGACGCTTGGCTCCTCCCTTTCCCAACCCCTTGCCGCCCTTTCCTCGACCGGACATTTTCGATCGGCAGTTGAATTAGATCTCTGCAATTAAACAGATGAACAGAATTAGCTAAATCGACTCGGTAATGAAACCGATTGATAACCTAGCTATTAGAAATTTCGCAAATTCGGAAACCTAACCCTAGATTCAATGATGAGATGATTTCTCATGTTATATGTGTGAATACTAAAGGACTGTAAATACTCATTACAGTGATTACTGCAGCTTTGATAAGAAGTAGTACCTCGAATATGGAGAAGTGAAAAGCTTTGAAGAGCGACAATGGCGAACGCGAACTAGAAATGGATATCCGATGGGGGTGGTGTGTATGGCTTATTATAGTGATGGGAAAATGGAGATCGATCCGCGTTGGGGTGTGAAAGATATTACGGACCGTTGATTAAATGGATCGGAGGGTTGGCATAAGCTAACAAGTGTCTCAAGGATCATCTACGTGGCACCGTTGATCAATGTGTGTTTCTTTTAAAATTTTGGGTTCGAAATTTAGCTCCTTTCCCCTCCAAAAATTCTGCCTCTCCTATTGTTTTGCATGTTCCCATCTTGCCCCTAAATTCATGTCCCATGGCCGCGCAAAACGTATTTCAAAATCAAAAATTATATAGGTACCCCCAAAATGTATCTCATTTTGTACACACTAGTCACACTCCCTGAATTGCATGTGTACACAGGCAATTCATTTGAAAGAGGGCAGGACTTTCTGTCCAAATTTCTGTGTACACAGACAATGTACAGATTGGGGTACAAATTGGGGTACCCCAAGCAGGACTCTTTCAAAATTCAGATACGCTATCTCATGAGTCCATCACCCATCTACATACTTCCTACTCCATCTGTCCCCCTAATTTTGTCTCATTTTACCTTTTTCATTCATCTCATCTCATCAAGTTTGTAACATACCATATTTGGTAATATTTGGATGATTACTTTATTCATTTTTATCAATTCAATAACAATAATACAATTCCACTTTTTCTTAAAAGTTATGTCACACTCCTTTGTCCCAAACATAGTGGGACGAAAGTAGTAAATCCTAACGGTAAAACATAATTAAAATATAAAATAATTCGATGCTTATAACTAAAATAATTATTATATAAAAAATGTGACATTTTAAGTGTAGTGGTCATAATAAAATTTTAGTTGTGGAGGATGTTTAGATCTACTTCTGAAATTGTTTCTGCTTTTTCAATGAGCAGAAGCAGATATTGGAGTGCTTGAGTAAAAGTGTAAAAGTGTTTTGGTGTGCTCTAAATTGTTCCTAGAATCAGTTTCATAGAAGCCGAGAGAGTCCAGCTTATTAAAAACTATTCTGCTTCTGTTTTTTAATAAAGAAGAAGAAGCAAAATCAATTCCAAGACTCATTATCATACTTCGTGTTCAATCTTTAAACTTAGGTGACCATTGCATTATACGCATACTAATTCTACTCATATTTTTGTAAATAAGTTTTACTTCAATAATATTTAAAAAAATCTTTAAAGTAAGGGCAAATCGGAACTAACGTCCCACTTTTCACTCATATTCTAATAATAGTCATTGAAGATAATTTCATATTTCTATTTTATCTTTTTTGATTGGCATCCGGCAAGTTGATGGATGACACATTTTTCTAAGTTTTTTAATCTTTAAAAAACATAAAAAAAGATCTAGCAATTCATCGATCTTCTAAAAATAGTCTCGGGTCTTCTATTCATCACCTTCTTCGACTTCACACAGGCCCCTGAAGTAGTCAAACAACAACGTGCACCTTGGCACTGCACATGGCAAAAATGGGGGAAAGACATGGAACCCTACTCAACGTACACATTTCCCTTTCCCTTGAATCATCACCTCTTCCTCAAATCCCTTGTCCTCATCAAAATCGACTAATGAAGTCCTCTGACGTCTTTTATATGACCTTAATGTACCCCCACCCCGTCCCCCTTTCTTAAGAATTGACATGTGAACAAATGAACAAAAATAAAGGGGTTTTCTCCCTATAGAATTGGGTAACACCTCATCTCAACTCAAGAAAGGGTAAAGTTTCAATTGAAAACTCGCAGGGCCGGCCCATAGCATGTCCCAACTGTGCAGTGGCACAGGGCCCAAGAAATATGAAGGCCCAAAAATTATCTAGTCATATTAATAGTACGTACTAATTATTGCTCAGTGCCATTCTCCAAGGGCTTTTGCTTGTATGCCGAAGTGTCGAGCAATCAAACAACTCCGGCCCATTATTCTTTAAACATTAGGAACCCAATAATCCATTCCGCTAGATTATTCCTCTTGACTCCCAAAGTCTCATTCCTCGATGAATGAACTAAACAAGTCAAGAAGATTTGTCATAAAGTGAATGAACCACGCCCAATCTATGTTAGGTATTTAGATTTTAAACTATAAATTTAGAATTCTGATCTTTGTGGAGTATATTATTGTCGTTTTTATCTTGTTTGTTTTCATGTTTTTAGTGCTTATTACTTCTAGATATTATATAATTGAGTTTAACAAATTGATTTTTTAGTTAATTAGGTACATAGATTTTTTATTTTATAATCGAGTTTAAAGAATTCATAGTATTAGGTTATTATGTTGTTAATTTAGTAATTGAGATCAATAATTGATTTTATAAGTAACTAAAATTTGTAATTGCTTTAGAAAAGAAAGGCCTAACTTTTGTTGTCGCACAGGGCCCTAGTTTTCCTAGGACCGGCCCTGAAAACTCGTAGGAGTATACATAGAGAAGTAATCATTGATTGTCGAATGGTGTTCACAATGGCACCTATCTAGATGCTCTCAATATAATCGAGGCGTCTTTCAAACTCCCAGCCACTCAATGTGTGACAATGGTCACCCCCTCGACGAGAAGCCGTATGGGGATCCTTTCGTCACTCACACGTACCGATGTGCACCTCGGCCTGTTTGACACTTTGGTGTAACTTATTATTTGTGTCAACTTTGCTGATGTGATGCAAATTCATATGCAAATTAAAATGGTCCAATCACATATTGATAATTATTTTTATATCAACCAAATAATCAAATATATAACGCACATTACCCCTTGTTTCTCACTGCCCCAATACTCATAAACGTGTTTGTATATTGCGGGATCATCCCACGATGAGCTCTGTCTCTTGCACTCAAGGAGACATAATTTTGCACTTTTTAAAATTAAAAATCTTCACACGTGAACAGTACATGTGTGTGTAGAGTTTTTTCTCCCTTGTCCCAGTAGCATAATGATGTAACTTACGTGTAAAGAAATGTAACTCACGTTATTGATCAATGTAATACAAGTTCAGTCGAAATGTAACTTGTCCAATACATAGTATAAGAAATAAAACATTGATTTCAATGTAAATAGTGAAAAAAGGAGTCTATTTGCCCAATTGTTTAACATAAATAGTTTATATGTTTTGTTTTTAATATATCAGGGCTATAAAAATGTTTTTTTTATATAATTTTTTTAAAGCAAGGACCGGGCTTATTGTGTTGTGTAACCCGCATTGTATTGTGGTATAACTCGCATTATGGAAAATGTAAAAACCGTGTAAGCAAGATGTAACTTGCAGAGGAAAGTTGACATGTAACTCACTTTAATAGATATGTAACTTGAGATAAATGAGAATGTAAATCATTTTAATACAAAATGCAACTTTTCTATGATAAGAAAATGTAACTACAGAGAATTTACATGGATGGCTACCCCTGTAGAAACCCAATCCCTTGCAGAAACCCAATCCCAATCTCAATCCCCTGCAGTAACTTATGGATGGCTATACCCTGTAGAAACCCAATCCCCCGCAGAAACTTGATCCCAATTTGAATCCCATGCAGGAACTTTTCCATGGATGGCTATCCCCGAAATCCAATCCCAACTTTAGGAGCCCCAAGTTCAGCTTCCTTGGAAACTCAAGTCATACATCGGGGGGGGGGGGGGGTGACAGTGCTATGATTCTGAGGCCATTTAGTGGGTTCTCTGCTCTCAACTTCGGCCTGGAGTGGGTACTGATGCTAGCTCTGGCTTTCATATTGAAGTACATGGCCGCCATGGAAAGAGCATCAGTGTGCTCCAATGTTGAGCCTGGGATTTTTCAGTATGGGGAGGAGCTCAAGAACCGGTCGTGGCCATTCAAGTCGGAAGAAGATGACTGATTTTTATTAACCAAAATGGCACCGTTTTGGGATCGGCACACCATCTGCACTGTGGGCCGATCCCATGGTATAATTTGCGCTCATAAACTAGTCATTCCCATTGCTCACGGCCAATATTGCCAGTTCTTCTCATAGATGCATACTTCTTCCTTAGATTTGCCTCTACATCGACTCTCCTTTAGTCTAAATCTCCAATTTCATATAACGTAGAACACTGAAGTCTCAGAGCTTTAACCACATCAAACTTTAATTCATTATGAAAATTAGAAATCCATTCACAATATATTAGTCAAACTTTTATGTCTTATAAATTAAACCTCAAATGATCACCTTAATCTTGGTATCTAGCCTTTCTTGTGCAACACGGTCCATTTTAGCCTAATTTCTCATAAGAAAGGAAGTGAGATCATGAAACATATTTTTTTATAAGTGCAAATGGCACGCGATACCCCCCAAAAAAATGAGTAAATATGACTTACATAGAATCCAGGGGATAAAACTCTTTCACCCATTTACTACAATCACAAAAGAACGTGTTTGCTTTTTTCACCAACCACACGAGGAAGTTCATCCATGAAATTGATCCTAATATCTCATTGTGATTCCTTTGATTTCTCGAAGCATATTTTTCCCTCTAGTTGGGCCAAGCCTCCTGCAATCAAGATACTCCTGCAAATTCTAATTCCCTGGCTCTCCGCTAATTGGTTAAGTATGAGAATATAAAATACAAAGACCAAAATGCCACTTTGTATATACATGTGGTAGTGTGGTTATCTCTCAATTTGAGTCTAGAGGTAATATAAGTCTTATTGAGTTAAAATGTTGTTTCCATAGGGGCACAGAAAAATTAATATCACAAGTGAGTCATATGGTTATTTTTATCTGGGAGCAATGAAGGAGGGAGTAGTGAGGGAAAAGATGTTTCAGAGGGAAATTTATTCCTATATACCATACCTAAGTACTTTTTAAGCTTTTTTACTATATAATTTTATAATTACAACCCAGAAATGATAAATTAAGATTAACATCTTAGTTTCCTTGTGATAGTACGAGAGTAAGATACCATGAACCAGAATATTTGAAATTCAGGGACAGTGGAAACAACTTTTTTTGTCATGCTACAGGGCAAATATATGGAATATCAAAAGACTTGGCTACATATATTTCACTTGACCAGTTAATATGCATTTTTTTAATGTGTCCTTGGGTTTTGTCTTTCTCAAACTTTTATTTTATCCTTGCACCTTCCTTGATCTTTTGGAGTCCAATCTTGATCCTTTGGATGCTCTTGACCTTTTTTAAGCTCGGAATAATCCTAATCTAAACAAATTACATCTATCTAGGAAAATAAACTAATTACACCAAAAGTGTGTAATTTCTCTAACCATAAACAATAAAGCTAATTAAAAGTGAAACAATACATAATAAAATTACAACATTACCAAAGAGATAAGATGTTGAGGATGTTTTGATGTTCCATTTCTATATAGGTATGCCAAACCTCGTATTAGAATGTAGTCAGTAGTCATGCAAAAGTTTTATAATTAAAGTTTATATGAATACGTTATATATGTTTCACCACATATTCAATTTTTTGGAATTCTAATTATGATGATAGCTATTATAACATGCAAATTTAAAATGTTCTATAGTATAGACCACATATATAAATTGAAACCCAGTACAACTTAGAACTTTTGGACAAGTATGGACCATATATATTCCACAAGACATTTATATCATTAAAATGCTTTGTTTGATCACTAATTGCTATAAGAATCAATACATGAAATATATGATGTATTTAACACACGATGAAAAATGTCAATGGATATGTATGTAGTGATTAGATCCCATATTTAATTTAGTCCATGTCCTCAATGTTAGTCCTACTACTGCAGCTTTGTATAAGCCTTCTATACGTGTCAAGCTTGAAAATGACATCATATGTTGTCATGTCTCATGTTGCACCAATCCATGTAGCTTTTTCCCCATTGCCAAATTAATACTTAATCGAGAGAGATATATTTAAGGTTGCCATGCATGGAGAATGGAGATATCAGCATTATACACATATATCCTCTAAAACTCACTCACTTCTCCTTCTTTGCAACTCCCTACCCATAAGTAGAGATTTCTCGCGTTCTGTCGAGATGGTAATACTCTACAACAATCTCTTCTCCGTGACTGCGAGAAACAAAAGACAATGTACTTGACAAGCACATGCAACATGTGACAAGAAATATGTGATGCATTAAAAACAAAGGTGATAAGTTATGCATTTGTAATATAAATTACTTGTTGCTCAATCTATTTTTAGTGTATGCAACTTTTCTTATAAGATATAACGTTGGGATATTGGAGTTTGACTCCCTTTTTTCATAGATCAGATTTTCACTTAAAAACCATCAATATTTTGCACATAAAGTTTAAAAATATATATTAATATTGAGGTGCAAACTGGATCCCAATGAAGGGGGAAAACCATATTTTTTCTGAACATAATTAAATCAAAACACAATTTCTGTAATAAGGCTATCGTTATTTTCCCAAAAATACTACTCAATCAGTTATAGAAGAATAATTTTGATATTTTTATTCTTTTATTATGCTTACGTAAGTCACATTTTACAAACAAAACATATGTAGGTCTACTTATGAACTTAATTATATTATACTCTTATTATGGACAATTTAATTTTATAAAACCATGTGTATTTTTTAGGTGTATAACCTTCATTCTCTTTAGTAGCAAACCATTGAATTTCATGTCTACTAAAACATGACTTTGACCATTAACAACTTCAATCATCTATTATTAAAAAATAAAAAATAATCATATTGTAATTTAAAAGTTTACTGAAAAGAAAAATTAATAATATAATTTTATATTGTGATTGTTTAATGTAATATGAAGAAATAAATTAAATATGATCAAAGTAGCATATGTGAACATGGTAAAAGTCAATATATTCCAATTATTAAAGAGCATGGGTTCTAAGTATTAGTGATTTTGAAAATGGCGTAAACATTGATTTGAATAGAAGGTGAGGTGGAAACTATATGTATGCACACCTCATCACGAATAGCACATTCATCAATTTTTTTTCTGCAAAGTGCGATTTTAACGTGACTAACGGTAAAATTAAGTCTTCCTATACTTATTTAGAAACCACAATAAAGTACAATTCGATAACTAATTTTTACCCTATCAATCTTACTATTTTTTTTTCAAACGCTTAACTTATGATTTCATGCGCTCGATTGAGTAATAATTAAAATAAGTAAGGTTAAAGTTTTATCTTTGACCAGATTTGTTAATAATGACTATATTAACCCTTTTTAATATTTTCATTTATTTTATTAGTGTAATACTATCCCCTGTCTCTTTTTAATTGCAACATGTTGACTTTTTGCACTGTTCACATGATCTACTTTGACTACATTTTACATTGTTATTTTATGGATTTTTTTTTTAAAAAAAAATAATTTTCAATTCATCTCATTACAAATTTTCAAAATCTGATTTTTAATATTTTTTTTATTAATAGAGATTAAGACATACTTACGGTCAAATGTATGTGTTGGCAAATGTGCAAAGGTTGACTGTTGCAATTAAAAAAGAACGGAGGAAATATGTTTTACATATATTTTTCATAAGTCACTGGATTTAGCATATTTAACCGTTTCACCCAGAACTTCAAAACAATTTAACATATTCATCTAATTAACCTAATCTTATTGTTACTAATTGAGCTTTTAAAGTTATATAAAATCACAGTCTAAATCCGAAGCCAATAAGATTTGAAACAAAAAATTATATACTCAACAAAAAGGGTGTTCACAGTTGTTTAAAAAATTTCTTTTATAGATTATAGCTTTAAAAAAGCTAACCACATTATTCTCAAATATATGTTCTAATTAAATTAAGCACTTTAAAAATAAAATCTGAAAGTAACAGAAGTGCTTTAAACATTTTGCATTCATTCAATCACATAAAATAACAATTTTACCAAACGTTCTTTACTTTTTTCAAAATTGCTTTTTTTTTCAAACACTTTTTTTTAAAAGTTTATAAACACTTTTGAAATAATCTATAAAATAAATCATTTTTCACCATATAAACAAATGCAACACTCATAGGAGATGAGGGGGAGGTAACTAACCTTTTCCCATCTGGCGCTATCAGGCTCTTTCAAGACGACAATGGAGTCAATATTCTGAGGGGAGTCGGCCTTCCACCTGCAATAAGGGTATGCCTCTCTATGGCGATAGTAAATCCCAATGATCTGATTCCTACTCCTGTCCAACCTCACTTTGCTGATATAGTAAATGAAGGGCTTCTGGCAGGGGTGCTTCGTCACCGGCCGGGTGTTGAACGCGTATGCCGTGTAGTCCGCCCTTCTGTACCAGTTCAGGAAGGTCCGCGGCGGCATTTCCAGCTCTCTGGGAGAAACCATGCCCCGGATCACCTGAATGACGTAGCCCCAGGATACGGAGATGGACCAGTACCTCTCTTTGTCGTAGCAGATGGACTGTTGCATTATGCTGGCCGAGTCAAGCTTGACCGACTCGAAGAGGCGTTTCAAGCTCTCCACTCGGCTCATGTCTGGGAAGATGGGTGCCACCACGTCCAGGTGGTGGATCGAGACAAGCGGGGCCACTGGATGTGCTCCTAGTAGACCTAGTAAGTTTCCGTACACGTCATACTGCAACGTTCAAATTTTAGGGTAAGTTCTAATTAGGATATCCACGTGAGCTTATTAGGATATTACACACAATTGAATAATTTAAATACAAACGATTGACGAGATAATAATTTGTACCAATTAAATGCATTTTAAGTAAAGTATCCACATTTATTTGTGGGACAGTGACAATCACCGAAGCAATAAGAACAGTTTTTTGAAAGAAGCAATAAGAATAGTTTAGGACTCCAAGAAACACACAATTCAAGAATCTAAATAGAAAATGAAAAACTTCACAAGATCAATCCGTTATTAGACAACTCTTTCGTCCAAATTTGTCGATTGGATGAAAGAGTTGTCTAATAACGGATTGTTAATGAAGTTAGATAGCTAGGCCAAAACAGCCCTTGCATACAAGTATTGAAGATTAGTTGCCCATTGGCCATTTATCCAATCTACCAAATCCTTTTTTAGAAGTGCTCTTATTCAGTTTTGAAAAAGCAAGACCATCTATACCTAGGCCAAAACAAATCTCTAGGGAGGTATGAATTTACTATTTTCATGACAAGTACACTGTTAGCATATATTACTATTTTATATTCAATTTAACTTTAAATTCAGTAAAAAACATTAAATATAAATTTCAACTTATCTTCAAAAAATATAAAATCTGAATTTTAAAATAGAATTTTAAGCAATTACTCCTTATTTTTTCACTAATATGAAGATATTTCCTAGTTCCTACAAACAAGACTTGTTAACTTTTATTTATAAATTATTTATAAATTGTTTGGTCATAAAGTTGGTCAAAATTATTTCTTTAGGAGCTAATAGGATCCTATTTTAGGAAACAAATAATAGTGTTTCCTTATGAAAAAGTGTGTTGGTTTTATTTTGTTTAGAAATTTTTCTAACTTTAAATAATACCCAGCTAATTTTGTTTCCAAACAAACTGTCAGGGTGGCCGAGTGGTCTAAGGCGCCAGACTCAAGTTCTGGTCTTCGTGAGAAGGCGTGGGTTCAAATCCCACTTCTGACAAGTTGAGCAATTTTTTTTCCAAGGCAGATTCCTCCAATAGAAATACTTCTAAAATCAGAATTCAAATACTTTTCTTCCAAATAGTGGCATTCTTCGTTTTACTACTCCATAATCTATATTGCTCCGTATTATTACCTGATGAAATCCGGGTTCTCTGGTCAGGGGCACTCCAAGCTCAGCCATGCAAGCATGAATCCGATCATCGCTGCCATACAACCCCGGATATCGCGAGATGCACCGGTCCTGCATTTTCTCGAGCTCCTTCGCCAAAGGATAACTAATTGCGAACCCGCCTCCGCCGTACGCCATGGCGTAGGAGAAGAATATGTTCTGAACGTGGCTCTCCGACGAGCTACCGATATAGTAAAACTGGTTGTGATCGTACTTGTTCAGCACCCTCACCACATTGTCCACGATGAAGACCGTGTCGTCGTCTCCCATCACCAACCACCTCACGTCTTCCATCCCCAACCTCAGCGTCTCTGAAACCACCCTCGATATCCGGAGCGCCGACCTGTCGCCCTGCCTGTTGGTGTAGTTGAACTTCGAGGTGTCGCCAGAGACCTTGATCTGTGGCAACACCTCGTTGTTCTGGACCTCAACTTTCTTGTCGAGCCAAACCGCCCCTCGCGTCTCCTCGGGTCTCCACCACGTCTTTATGTACTCCTTCCGCTTCTCCCAGAGGTTCGACGACGCTGCGATCCCAAACACGACGTGTTTGAGCTCAGTGTTGTCGCGGAACGAGGGACGCTGAGGGGGAGGCGGAGGAGACGGGGGAGGCGGAGGAGGAGGCGGAGAGGAAACCGAGAGGCGGCGGAGATGATCATCATAGTTGTTGCTGGTGCCACAGTCAGATGGAGGGGATGAGGAGTAGTAGTCTTTGATGAGAATGACTTTGGCGGAGTAGAAGAGGTAGATCAAGAGGAGGGCGAGGAAGAGCCACGTGACGGATCTGCGGAGGAGGCCGGGAGGCGGTGGCGGGAGGCGCTGATGATGAGAAGCGGAGGAGGTGATCATTTGGATGGATTTTGTTGAGAAGATGGAAACATGATCCGGTAGCTATGGTGTAGTGTAGCATGGGAGTGGAAGCTAAGGTGGCTTGGATTGATGCATGCATGGAGGCAGGTGAGTGATGCAGAGAGAGCTTAGCTTAGAATGAGATATGTTCGGATCGTTTGGGAAATACGTACAATACGAGTAATAATCACATACATGACAATAATAATGTATAATTGCATCCAAATTTAGCTGGAATTACGGTCCCTCCTACGTTTTCATTCGTTTGCTTTTCTATACGTAGTATTATGTAGTTATGTGCCCAATGAATATTTACACTCATCTATACAAGCTTAAAGTTTCAATGATAAAATTTTGACTTTTGTCAAGTTCTGCTCTTTGTGATTTAATAGAACTTATTGCTCAATTTTGAGAATATATACTCGTACAATATACGATAGTACAGAAATGCTCAGGTCAATCTAGAGGGACGGGAGGCTCCGTCCAAACTTTACTGTTTGAGGTGGAATTTTTTGATGAAAATTTTTGAGCATGTTCCTAATCAAGTCTAGTTTATCCATACAAAATTTCAGCTCAAAATTCGATTGGGAACGCATTCAAATAAATTCTTGAAACATACTGCACATTATATGTGCGCAGAATGTGCAGTATGTTTCATGAATTTATTTGAATGCCTTCCCGATCGAATTTTGAGCTGAAATTTGGTATGGATAAACCAGACTTGATGAGGAACATGCTAAAAAAATTTCATCAAAAAAGTCCACCGGAAACCACCCCAAACAGTAAAGTTCGGACGACACCTCCCGTCCCACTCGATGGACCTGATCATTCCTCTACGATAGTATATGTAAGTTTTAATTATTAATACCAAACTAGTCTATACAGTAAGACCATTTGTAGTGGTTGAGAGGCCAAGTTGTTAAAAATGGACTCCGTCGATATGAAAACATTGTTTAGACTCCCATTTTCTTGCATTACAGCACCGTCAATAAATTACACTCAGCATATATTTTAACCTATCAATTTAGCAAAACATTAATTAAATTATTATAAGTAATGTTTTGCTTTTAATTTTTTCGCTGAATAATTATGAAATAAAAAATACATATTTCAATGTAAAAATAAATAAATTTAATTAATTTTTTTTAACTTTTTTTTGGTTAACAAAATATGAACTTAGTTCAAGTAAAGTTCGATTATGGAATATTCAATTATTTGTGAAGGCTCCATAATTTAAAAAATTGTGTTTCATGTTTTTCCGAGGTTCAAGAAAACTTCACCAGTTAAAACTTAAAAAAATCATTTAATATATTACATATTGGTATAATATGAAAGATCATAAAAATTTATGAATTTTGATATATTTTTTTGAAAAATTTGGATAAAAAATAAAAAAGTTATACAAGTTTTAAAATATTTGGGATATTATGATGCAGCGATGACATCAGCATGACATCATCCACACAAAAAAAGCAACCCAGGACCGTCCTTTCTCTTGTTTTTTCTTTGTTTTTCCTTTTCACACTTCTCTTAACCAACCCTCTATATTTAATCCCCTCCATTCACTTTCCCATTTTTAATACCCCTTTTAAACTACCACTACACACAATTAGGAGTCCAAAAATTCTATATTTAGCTTTTTAGACTCCTAATACCTCACCACTCCAAATGGTCTAAGGGATGAACATAAAGCGGAAAATCAAAACCCACGGGCAAATTAACCAATTAATACTAAACTGACTAAAACCAAACCGAATGAAACTCGAAACCGACGACTAAGACTGACTAACCCATTGGCGATTCCCTTTACGGTTTATACTTTTCGGTTAAAAAACCGACCAACAAAAGTGGATCAAAACGTGCTAAAATCTACTGAAATTGATACAAACCGACCAAAACCGACTCAAGTTATGTAGTTAGTGTATGGGTTTCACATTTTCTTAACCGACTGACTAAAAATTAAAACGACTAAAAACCAAAGAGATACAATCGAATCCGATGAAACCGAACTACCGAACACCCACACCGTACATAATATCGCATGCAAAAGTATGAATTTAGTGTTAAAGTATGTAAAATTAGGAAGTGAAATATAAGTAGGTAAAACTGTCAAACTTTTTTTTTTTGAAAGTAAAGCCGTAAAACATAGGAAAGACGATCTTGGCCCGTTTGAGTAATGGAGTTTTCAACAAAATGGTACTAACCTACACGGCCTCAAGTTTGTTTCAAAATTACACACTCCATATTAAATTACTATACACGATGTTTCATAATTTTCATTAATGACCTGATCAAATTGTGTATAGAAAAATAAAAAGTTAATTTGTTATTACTAAGAGATTGTTATAAAAAATTACACAATCCACAATAACGTCAACCAATTCATTAAGAAAAGTAACTCCAATATTATTTATTCTGATTGTTATATAATTTAGCGTACAAAATTAAGAGCTATTTTTTTTTTGATTAATAAAATCAAGAGCTATTTGTGTGGTGGAAAAAGTCATCAGAACAAAAATAGCATATTTTTCTTTCACATTATAAAAAATTGGGCCTCTTGGCATTTGGCCTTATTAGTGAATTTAAAAAGTTGAAGCCGGGCTATATGGCTTTATGCAATAACAGTACTGGCGGGAAACCCAACTCTTGTGATCCATCCTTCTCCATCTCCTGTCAGAGTCTTCTTCAGAGAGATGGCGAACAAGCTCATTAGCCAAATGGGTCTTCCCAAGTCAATATCCAATATATTCGTCGCTCGTAATATCCTCACCGCCAAGGTTCGTCTCCCCCTTCTGATTTTCTACTCGTGCCTTCGCTCGCTTGTCTACTATGCCTTTCTTCATTAGAAGTTCTCGATTCAGTGGAAGTTTCGGGGTTTTTTTCGTTGACTGAAATTTACACTATGCGCAATTTGATCGGCATTTTAATGCCTTTTTCCAGGATGCACTTTCGTTAACTGAATTCGAATTGATGGATTTGTTAGACCTTAATCTGTCCGAGGTGATATCTGCAATTGGACACATCAGTGAAATTGCTTGTCCTCCATATCAAACTGTAATCTTATTATGTCTCCGGATCTGTGTGCATTTTGTATAGTGGTTTGCGGGGAAACTGCTAATGCTCGGATTTCTGTTTTCAATTTTTAGGCTCTTTCTCTTCTGGAACTTCGTACAGAAAATGAGAGCTTTGCCGGCCACCTTCCAACTCGTTTGAGAGGATTAGACGCAGCCATGTGCGGTGGAATTCCATTTGGTGTTGTTACAGAAGTTGTGGGCCCGGCTGGGATAGGCAAAACCCAGGCAAGATAGCTTTATGTTTTGACTTTTGAGTATTTGCTTATATAATTCTGTTCTTGTTAGTGAATAAGTGTGACGAAAGGATATGTATTACTGTATTAGTATTGTCATTTACTCTCTTGCTACCTACGTTTTGAAAACTATGTTGGTGGTCCATGTGGTTATCGTTCTGCTAGTCCAAGAATGTTGGGACTTGGGACCAACACGAGATTGTTCTTCGAAGCTCATTTTCTTGTTTCTGATGTGTAGTTTTGCCTCAAGCTCTCGTTACTTGCTGCACTTCCTTTATCATATGGAGGTTTAGATGGTCACGTTTTATTCATTGATACTGAATCCAAATTCAGTTCTAAAAGGTTTTTCCCTGGATATGGTTTTAATAGCTCCCAGAAATGAGGAATATACATGTATTAATACAATCATTTTACTGTTATTTATCAATTATCCATTATTTGGTTTCAGGATGATAGAAATTGGAGTGAATAGCTTCCCAGAAGTATTTCACAAGGAAAACATGGCACAAGAGGTTCTCTGCATAGCGCTCTCTCCGTCCATAAATCTTCTTGCTTTACAATGTTTATTGATCATTAAATTCATTCCCCTCAACACTTTTTGAACAGGAAAATAACTAGGTGAATATGTGATACTAACTATTGCCCATTGACCAATAATAATACACGCTATAGATTTATATATTATTGTATACCCAAATTATTAGTAGATGTAATATAAATGGTTCCAACTAGAAGTCCAATCATTTAACTAATAAAAAACTGGCATAAACCTATCAAATAATTCTTGTCACAGGGATCATAATGATTATTGATCGTTAAATGACCGTATTAATAGTCGCAAAATGGTTGCATACTTTCATATCATTATAGTCTGCATGATTTTGGTTGACAAGTTATAGCTCTATTATTTAAAGTTATTTTCCCTATTGAAATTATAATTAATAGTTAAAGTTTTTATATTTAGAAACAACACTAAAATTTCTATTAGTCACAAGAACTGAATTTGAATATGATGAACGTTCATTTATAAAAGTGTAGATAAAAATAGAGTTCAGTTGACCACAAAGATTGAACATGAAGATTATTCAGGACTGAAGGAGTATACATTTGTTTCTTTTTTCAAGGTTGTCATAATTGGACAAATTGTTTTGTTTAGTACATAATAGTTGAATCTTTTTCCATTTCTTCATAATACACAATTAATGGCCTTTTGGCAGCAGCTGTTTTTAGCATATGAACCATATTATTTTCACCAAACCCTAACTTATTTGGCTGTGTTAACTGAGTTGGTTACTAATGGAAAAGTATGATTAAAAGTAAATGTTATGGCTAAAGTTGCTTAAGATGATTAATGTTATGATTTTTAAAAAGTTTCGTATATATTTTCTTTCTTTTGTCAATAAAATGTATTCATGTTTTTTAATATAATTTAGCAATTTCACAACTTTAGGCTTTTGTTGTTGCTCTCTTTCAGTTTTTCCATGTCCAAGCAATTTATTGTTTGTTTCCATACTATAATTACACAAAGCTATTGATGCATTGATGCCTTCATTTAGAGTGACCTCTTGATTGTCTTTAATGAGGTAGTGGAAGACATTGCATTTCATGATATAACAAAGCTTTTACTTAACTTGCAGATGGCAGGGCGGATCATAGTTCTCAGACCAACATCGCTTACTGACTTTACAGAGAGGTTTGAACTTTGAAGCTGTTTTGGCACATCTTCTGCCTGCCTGAGAGTTGATGACATACTTGGCTTTGAACGTTTGAGGGGATTGGAAAAAATTGACTATTCACCTAAAAATAGAAATAGAAGTTGCTTAATAAAGGACAGGAATATACACAAGATTAAAAAATAGGACTAAGTATGCTTTATTCCCCAAATAAGACTTGGTTAGTCCTATTAAAAGAAGAAGTTGATTAAAAAGCTTCCCAAAATAGGAGCGAACGAGTCATATTTTAGGAATAAAACAATGATAATCCTATTTATGAACTTTATCCTTGTTTTAGTCCTATTTAGTGAATTTTCTCAAACAGAAACTGTTTCTTTTTCATTGCCTCCCTTTCCCCTCAGTTGTTTTGTGCTATGGGACCACTTGCCGGAGTATTTTCATAGTCTTGCCATTTTGTCTTATTTTCAGATTAGAACAAATTAGAGATTCTCTTTTCCAGCATAATGTGAAGTTGCTAGTTGTTGATAGCCTGGCAGCTCTTCTTTCAGGGTAATTCCATATCCCCTTTCCCCTCATTAGTTGTATACTGGTGGACTGATGTAAAATTTGTTAATCATCAACTGTGTTTTAGAATGGATGCAAGCAACTTCAAGGTCCTTTTTAAGTTTTTATCCCTTTTTGGTCATATAGTCTTAAGTTTTAACCTTTTGCATTTATTGGGAAAATTTAGTTGCTTACCTGATAAGTAGAAGATGTATTCCTGCTATTGTTTCCACTCATTTTTCGTTGTTGCAAGAAGTGATTTTTTTTTAATCTGATAACATGTTTCTTCCTTACCTTCCTACCATATGGCCAATCTGGATTAATCATTAAAATATTGATTATCCTTTTTGTCTATTTCTGCCTTTTATAGTACAAATGATTTCCCCTAGAACTAACATGTTTGTGCACACCTTATAAATTGGTTCAGGGAAGACTTTCACCGGACTCACAGACAACACTCATTGGGCTGGCACATATCATTTCTTAAGTGAGAATTTTCTCGATATTTAGGTTCATCTTATTTATTTAATGTTTTCCACAATGTCAGATTTGCTCAATGCCTTAAGGCCCGCCTCGGCGTTTTTTTGGGCGAATACTCATTAATGCAACTCCTAAATTACGCAATGTTGAGGCTTACGCAATGTTGGGCTGAGGGGTATGCAATGGGGCGAGACTCAGGCGTACAAAATTGCATTTGCAGGGTTTAATCAATTAAGTTGTGCACACTTAAAAATGTTAGAAACCTGCAGATTTGATTATAATAGAACAAATGATTGAATCAAGAATGTAAAGGCAACTTTTATTTCTTAGGCAACAAGATAGAGGTACAACTCTGATCTCCCAATCCAGACTACTAGTCAAAACAGCCTGACTACTACTCCCAGCCGTATACTATTTATAGTAAAGAAGTCTAACAACAGGTCGTTATAGTTTACAACAGACTTAACTAATAACCGACCCTACTTCCTTCTAGAATACACTTTACTAAAGTATTTAGCTCCTCTCTTCAGATTAGTAAAGCTTCTATCAATTCTCCCCTCCTGAAAATCCAACTTGCCCTCAAGTTGGAAAGTAGGAAATTGCTGTTTGATGTTATGTTCTTTCTCACATGAATCTTCAAACTCCGGAAGATCTCTCCAATGAATCAAAACTTCCTTTTCTCCAGCTGAATTTCTTCTTACCCCCTTCACTTCCTCTGGCCACACCAATAATTCACAATCCTCAGTTAAACATTTAGGAAGATCTTGGTAGAAGCTTGCAGGTTTCAACTCCTTCTTCAAAAGGGATATATGAAAGACTGGATGGATCCTGCACCCTATAGGTAGCTACAATTTGAAAGCCACATGATTTATTTCTTCTAGGATCTCAAAGGGTCCATAGAACCTGGGACTCAATTTCTGATTAATTCTCCTGGCTAGACTCCTCATCTTGTAATGCTGTATCTTCAAATACACCCTGTCACCAACCTGCAACTTCAACTCTCTTCTATGCCTGTCAGCTTGTTGCTTCATTAAATTCTGAGCCTGAGCCAAATGTTCTTTCAATTCTTTCAACACTTCATTTCTTTCTGCTGTCAATTTTGATACTTCCTCCACAGATGATAGGCTGACATCTCCCCTGATAATTACAAGTGGGTCTTGACCAAATAGTGCCTTATAAGGAGTGTCTTGTAAGGATATATGATAATTTGTGTTGTACCATAGTTCTGCCCATGGCAACCATTTAACCCATTGCTTGGGTTTCTTGCCAGTCATGCATCTCAAGTAAGTTTCTAAACAACGGTTGACTACTTCCGTTTGTCCATCACTTTGAGGATGATATGCAGTACTATACTTCAGTGTAGTACCTGCTGCCTTGAATAATTCTGACCAGAATGTGCTCAAAAAGAGGTTGTCTCTATCACTTACTATAGATCTGGGAAATCCATGTATTTTCACTACTTCTCTCATAAACAACTCAGCAATTTCCTTAGCATTGTAGGGATGTGATAGAGGTAGAAAATGAGCAAATTTTGATAACCTGTCAACCACTACCAAGATGGTATCTTTTCCAAAAGATTTAGGTAAACCTCCCACAAAATCCATACTGATATCAGTCCAAGTATGAGTAGGTATAGGTAAAGGCTGCAATAAACCTGCATGTTTTAAAGCCTGGTATTTGTTCCTCTGACATGTGTCACACCCTTGAACAAATCTTTGAACCTCATATCTCATACCCACCCAGTAGAATAGATTGGATATTCTTTTCATTGTCCTGAATTGCCCTGAATGTCCTCCCAATGCAGATTCATGATACTCTTTCAATATCTTTGCAATTCTTGCAGACCCTTTTGGTATTACCAACCTTCCTTTGAAATATAGCAATCCACCTTTGATCCTAAAATTCCTCACCTTGTCTGGTTGAGTTAAAACCTTCTGAATGATACCACCACACCATGAATCCTTCTCCAATTCTTGATCCAGTCCTTTCCACTCTTGACAAGTCACTATGGATAAGGAAAGCATAGTCATCTTCCTAGAAAGAGCATCAGCTGCACCGTTCTCCATTCCTGGTCTGTATTTGATCACAAAAGTATAACCCATCAGCTTAGTGATCCATTTCTGTTTATCCTCTCCCATAATCCTTTGCTCAGTAAGGTATTTTAGGCTCCTTTGGTCTGTTATCACCTCAAACTGTCTACCCAAAAGGTAGGGTCTCCATTTTTGGATAGCAAAAACTATTGCCATAAGTTCTTTCTCATAGACTGACTTCATTTGGTGTTTGACAGCTAGTTCTTTACTCATATAGGCTATGGGCCTTCCTTCCTGCAATCCTGCATCAATACAGCCCCCACACCCTTACCAGAAGCATCAGTTTCCACAGTAAAGGTCTTATTGAAATCAGGGGTTCTTAGTACTGGTAGGGTGGTCATGGTCAATTTCAACTCTTCAAATGCTCTTCTAGCCTCATCATCCCATCTGAATCCATCCTTCTTCAATAACTGAGTTAATGGAGCAACAATTTTGCTGTACCCCTTGACAAATCTCCTATAGTAGCCAGTCAACCCCAGAAAACCTCTCAAACTCTTTAGGTCTTGTGGTTCCTTCCAATCCTTCATGGCTTCTATTTTGCTTGGATCTGCAGATACCCCATTTTCAGAAATGATATGCCCTAGGTAAGACAATTGTTGCTGACCAAAAGAACACTTATTCCTATTAGCCACCAACTTATTCTCTTTCAGTGCTGTGAGGATCTGCTTCAAGTGTTTATTGTGTTCCTCTAAAGTTTTGCTGTACACTAGTATGTCATCAAAAAACACTAATGCAAACTTCCTTAGGAAAGGCCTTAGAATTTCATTCATTAGAGCTTGAAAGGTAGATGGTGCATTGGTCAACCCAAATGGCATTACTAAATATTCGTAATGCCCTTCATGTGTCCTAAATGCAGTTTTATGTGTGTCCCCAGATTTCATGCGTATCTGGTGATAACCAGATTTCAAATCTAACTTGGAAAATACTTTAGCCCCATCCAACTCATCAAGTAACTCTTCAATTACGGGAATTGGAAACTTATCAGGCACTGTTATCTTATTTAATGCTCTGTAATCCCCGCAGAAACGCCAACCTCCATCCTTCTTTCTGGCTAATAGAATGGGACCACTGTAAGGGCTATTACTGTTCTTTATTATACCAGAGTTGAGCATTTCCTTAACAATTCTTTCTATTTCATTTTTTTGGTCATAGGAGTACCTGTATGGTCTTATATTTGGGATGCTTGAGCCCTCTTTGATATTGATGGAATGGTCACAGGCTCTCTCCGATGGAAAATCCAATTCAGCTTTGAATATTTCTGGAAATTCCTTCAATATCTCCTCCCAGTCTTTGTTCCCAGTTTGCTGCAGTTCTTGCCCTAGCTGCTCTTGTTGTTTTACCTCACAATAGAGCAGATAGCCATCCCCTATTTGCTGAATGATCTGAGTCATGGTTTTTAAAGGTACTTCCATTTTATTAAGGTTTATGTCTCCCTTAATACTGCATTCCTGTCCTTTATTCTTCCACCTTAGGATCTGTTCATGGAAATTTACCTCCATGTTTCCCAATTTAGTGAGCCAGTCTAATCCCAGAACTACATCAGTTTCTCCTAGTTCCAATATGTAGAAGGTTTCATTGATGTCATTCCCTTGCACCATTAATTTGATCCCCATACATCTGCCTTTGTTGTATATGACTTCACCATTACCTATTTTCACCTTATACCCCTCTATATGGTTGAAAGGTATGTCCCACTGGTTCACCAATCTCTGGGATATAAAGTTGTGGGTGGCCCCACTATCAATCAGTATTTTGACCTCCTTTTCCTCCATAGCCCACTTCAATTTTCCCAGAACCTTGAAGGTTCTCATAGAAGGGATACCCTCCTTGCTGAGTACAGATAGTTGCATAGATTTCAGTTCAAGTTGGATCTTATCTTCTCCTTCAGTACAACTGTAATTAGCTTCAGTTTCTGTCTCTTCCTTAGACTGTTCCATCAAAACCATTTGAAAGTTTTTCATCCTGCAAACGTGTCCCCTGTTCCAGTTCTCTCCACACCAATTTGATCCCCATACATCTGCCTTTGTTGTATATGACTTCACCATTACCTATTTTCACCTTATACCCCTCTATATGGTTGAAAGGTATGTCCCACTGGTTCACCAATCTCTGGGATATAAAGTTGTGGGTGGCCCCACTATCAATCAGTATTTTGACCTCCTTTTCCTCCATAGCCCACTTCAATTTTCCCAAAACCTTGAAGGTTCTCATAGAAGGGATACCCTCCTTGCTGAGTACAGATAGTTGCATAGATTTCAGTTCAAGTTGGATCTTATCTTCTCCTTCAGTACAACTGTAATTAGCTTCAGTTTCTGGCTCTTCCTTAGACTGTTCCATCAAAACCATTTGAAAGTTTTTCATCCTGCAAACGTGTCCCCTGTTCCAGTTCTCTCCACACTTGAAGCATAACCCTTTTTTGCTCCTATCCATAAGTTCATTTTGTGATAATCTGGGGCCAAATTTTCTGGAACTAGAGCCTTCACCACTGTCCCCCGTTTTGTTATCATTTGCATTTCTCCCATAAGTATTAGTAATTACAGGATTACTACTACTCTTGATTCCCTCCCCAGGTTTCTGAAAATTACTTCCCTTGTAACCAAAGCTCTTCCATGATCTTTTTACTTCTTCCTTCTGCTTCCTGGACAGTATTTCTTCATTTTTATCCTCAATCAGCTGTGCCTTATCCATGATTTTCTCCAGGTTCTTGGTCTTATACAGCTTCAGTTCAGCCTTAATCTCATTCTTTAACCCATTCAAGAATATGCCTCTCATCACTTTTCTGTCCAAATCTTCTTGAGAAGCAATAGCAGTTTCGAACTGTTCTCTGTACTCCTGTACAAAATTCTTTTGTTTCAGACTCAACAGAGGCCCTAAAGGATTTTGAATTAACCCTGGTTGAAATCTACGAATCAGTGCCTTCCTCAATTTTTCCCAATTCCTTCCCTTAGCTTGTTTCTCCCACCATTGGATCCATCCAAGGGCCTTACCTTCCATGGCGACAACTGCAACCTCACATTTATCTTCCTCTTCAACATTATTGAGTCGAAAATACCTGTCGATTCTGACAAGCCATCCAAACGCGTCTTCTCCATTGAATAAAGGTAGGTCAACCTTCCTGTGAATCTGATGGTGATGTCGATGTCGATGCGGAGGAGAAAGCTCAAACTGACCTTCCGAAGCATCGGAACTGTCAGAAGATCGCACTGAGTGATGATGCGATGAACGACGCGAAGCGTGAGACGTATGCGACCTGTTTCGCGATCGATTTTCAGGTATTCGCGATTGATTCTCACCACGCGTTTCCAATCTTGCTATAGCCGCCTGAAGATTCGTAAACATCTCCATAGTTTGTTGTTGTGATCTTTCCAGCTTATCATCCAATTCATTCATTCTGGCTTCCATCTTCGTTCTTGTTACAACCATCCACAAAGATCGTCAGGCTCTGATACCAATGTTAGAAACCTGCAGATTTGATTATAATAGAACAAATGATTGAATCAAGAATGTAAAGGCAACTTTTATTTCTTAGGCAACAAGATAGAGGTACAACTCTGATCTCCCAATCCAGACTACAAGTCAAAACAGCCTGACTACTACTCCCAGCCGTATACTATTTATAGTAAAGAAGTCTTACAACAGGTCGTTATAGTTTACAACAGACTTAACTAATAACCGACCCTACTTCCTTCTAGAATACACTTTACTAAAGTATTTAGCTCCTCTTCAGATTAGTAAAGTCTCTATCAAAAAAATAGCCCATTTTTCTATTAAAATTTCTTCTTCACTTCTCTTCTTTGAAAATCACCTTCCTTGTGTGCGTCTTTTACAACTCTTCATCTTCTTTTCTCTGCCTCTTGTCAAAAAGGTACTCTTTTTATATACTTTCCCCATGACACACATCAACATGATGTGATTATGTGAGCTCTCTTCTCTCTTGCAAGGTGTTTTTTCCTGCAATATTTTCTTTTTCTGATTAATAATGGACGTGAGTCTTGATGAATTGATGGTGACAGTGATGGTAATGGTAGTGGTGAGGGTGATAGTGATGGTGGAATTGATGTTGGGTTTTGATTCCTACTCCGAATGACTAGATATTCATGACCCTTGATTCATTTCTGAATCAAATAAACTTTAAACTTTAATTAGGATTAGGCAATATTTATTATTATCTGATTATTATTACTATTTATAATGGGGTTATGACCCTAATATTCTTCGCTTTAGCTATGAGTTTGTTGAGTTATGATGACTGTTTTATTATACGATTGTATTATTTAAATTATTACTCCGTATTTTTTATATTATTTGTAGTATTTTTATATGGCGTATAAATTACTACTATTAAGAACTGAGGCCTATGCCTCATGCATAATGAAGTTTATGCATTGTGTAATCCCTACAAACCGACTCAACTATGCATACATGATTTAGAACATTGGTATCAACATCTTCATTATAACTCTTCAGATCACTTGCTGAGTTTTCACGAATACCTGTAGTAGTCACCAACCAAGTGAGATCACAAAATCGCGAAGAAACTTCCCAGTTTCATTTCCAAGGTATTTTGGCCAATGAAAATGTATCTTGTACAATGGATGGACTTGACATAATAATGTAGTTTACTAATTGAGCTTTATGAACTTTCTTTAGAGGGTTGGTCTCTTTTGAGACTACCCACAGTCTTTCTCATGAAACGGAAATATTTTTTGTTCAAAAGTAATACTCCGTATATCTGAACATAAGTTTCATAATTTTTTTTATTACAAGTAAAATTTCTATTTATGTTTTTGTAGTACATGGTATAATTTTCTGAAAAAAGGTATCATCGTCTCACTATGAGACGGTCTCACAATAGTTTTTATGTTCTGCAAAGTGTTATAAAGTCTGAAGTATAACCATGGCGCATGGAATGAAGCTGTTTTTTTTTAAACTTCACACTTAATGCCCCCAGCTTATCAGCTTGTTAAATATCCTAGCATTTATCCTCTGCAGCGCAGGAGACGACTGCCAACCCTGAAAATCCCACCAAATTTGATCACCATTTAGTTGCTGCACTTGGAATCCATTGGGCTCATGCTGTCACAACTCGGCTTGTATTCGAATCTCGATCAGGTCATTCTCGCCTAACGTTTCATGAGGATTAAAAGCTAAAACTGCTACTTAGATTCATTGTTTCTTTATTGGGAAAGTCATCTTTGTCATACTGCTACTTATTTAGATAATAATCATGAAAAGACTCGTTGCTTTCTTTGTTTGGAAAATCATCTTTGTCATATTTGTAAAACATGTACAACTGTAAATAACAAAGGGTATGTTTGGGAGTTTACTTTTGGAGGGGAGGGGAAGGATGAGGAGGGTTTATGACCCTCCCTTTTTTGTTTCGGGTTCAAAAAGTTGGAAGGAATGGTTTTGAAAGGTTCTTGTGACCTCCCCAAAACCCATCAAATGCCCAATTTTTAAGTTCACCCCAATTTGGTTTTTTTTGAAGGATAACGAATTAAATGATAAATTTAGTTCAATTTAAAATGAATATAAGTTCAACTATTTGAATTATTTCTAACTCTGAAGTGATTTTATGTATACTTGATTACTTTCTCCATAGTCTCTGTTTCCAAATTTGTAACTCGCAAACAAGAAAGATTTCAATGGCTTCCCCTCCTACGGATAACCTTGAATACTTTCCTCTCCCATACCCCCAAACTCCGAAACATACCCTTTGGTTTTCATTCTACTGATGGATAAACTTCTAGTAATGCATATATCAGCCAATGAAGTAGATATTACTGCTATCTTGACTTTTGCAGGTCAAAGGTATATAAAAGTAGCCAAATCTTCAATATCCCCACCAATTGCTTTTCCGTTCAACATAACTTCGTGTGGTATTTCATTACTAGACGATGATGGTGTGGAAATGACTGGGCCAGAAATCAATACCATCAATTATCAAGGTTTTATCCTAATACTTTTTATACTTGGTATGAAACAATTTTAGATATTAACTGTTTATGAGGATTAAATTATATTCATACTAATATTACATATACATATACAGAATATACACACACATGCGAGACATGTGAGCTAGCCCAGTAAAACTAGAGTTACACTTGATGTTCCACCTCAAGGTGGAGTGTATATATATACATATATAGAATTAGTTTTTTTTATTGAGAAAATGATCTTAGGAGAGAAATGAGAATGAATCTGGACCGTTAGATTGTAATCTGTGAAATTGAATGTGTATTAAGTGAAACTAAAATGTGCATTAGGTGAAATCGAAATGTGCAGCACAAAAAGTAAGTCACAATGGTATTATGTGAAGCTGAATTGTGTATTAGGGGAAACTGAAATGTGCACTATGTGAAATTGAAATGTGCAGAATAAAAACTACGATGCAGTGACATTCTTGTGTCTTTTATTCTGCACATTTCAATTTCATGTAATGCAAATTTTAGTTTTACTTTGCCTGTACAACTCCTATCTGCCCACAATCGCCGCCGCTACGGGCTACACATCCAACTCCGGAACCTGCGATTCTTGGAAGAATTATCCCTGCCAGTTCATATTTCCAATGTTCTCTCCATAAGCATCCTCAGCCCACCACAATTTTTTCTTAATAATTTCCAGAAAGAAAATACCCTAAAGATGCCTGCTGAGGTCAACATGAGTAGCAGATAAGCGGTGGAGAAGAGCATCAAAGCTCAACCAAACAGCCATTTGGAGAAAGAAAAGAACTAGTGAGATGGGGATAGGTGTCGGGCGGCAATTTGCGGAGGACGACGAACTCGCCGAAGAGCAAGGAGAGCCAGCGAGCAGAGAATTGAGTAAGACGAAAGGGACCGGAGAGATAGAAGGAAGAAAGAAAGAAGTTGCAGCAAGAAGGAAGGGAACAGGACAAAAGTTGCAGGCTAGAAGGAAGGAACGGGAAGGAATGAAGGATTAAAGACAGAAAGAAAGAAAAAACGAAATAAGAAAAAAATAGGGGGGAAATGCCATGTGGACGTGCACATCATGTTAGGGTTAGGGCGCACACACACAAATCTGAAAACGAGAAAAGAACGAGAAGAAACGGCACACGAAATTAACGTGGTTCAGCCAGTAAGTGTTACTGACCTAATCCACGGGGGCAACTAGGGTTTTCTTCTTTATTGAGGTGATGAATGATACATATCATAGTTTACAAGTACAGGAGTCAATATATAGGCAAACAATTAGGGTAAAACACTTAAAGAAGGTTCTAGGCCTGACTGCCATTAAAGAAATAGGCACATTTAACTAGAGCAGGCTGCTGCTCTATGTTTAGATGGCTCCCATGTCTGAGTGGGCCGAAGCCTACAGCCCAACAATCTCCCACTTGGAGGCTTCGAAACACGATCAACTGCACTCCACTCCTCTATACTTCTGTAAACTTCATCTGTGTTTAGCTTCTCCTAGTTGCCACCTGCCTTCTCAACATTATTCTTGAAGGCCAGCTGAAGTTACACAGAACTTCAGCTTGTCCAGCATCACAGATTTAGTGAACATATCTGCTGGATTCTTCGCACCTGAGATGTTCTTCAAGTTCATCGTTCCTCCACTGATCAGGCCTCTAACAAAGTGATATCCCATCCCAATGTGCTTCGTTTTCCCATGATAGACTAGATTATTGGCAAGTTTCACTGCACTCTCATTATCACAGTGTAATGAGTAATCTGCTTGCTTTTTGTCTAACTCTTCAAGGAAGTTCCTCAACCAAACTAGCTCTTTACTGGCTTCAGCAACTGCCATGTACTCTGCTTCGGTTGTTGAGAGAGCTACATTTTTCTGAAGTTTGGACATCCAACTAACTGCGGTTCCTCCCACTGTGAAAATGTACCCTGTAGTGCTTTTGAACGTCTCTTTGCATCCACCCAAATCAACATCAGAATACCCTCTCAAAATTACGCCTTTACCTCGGAAACATAACCCCATCTTTGTAGTAACCTTCAAATACCCAAGTATCCATTTGACTGCTTCCCAATGTTCTTTCCCCGGTTTTGACATGAAGCGACTAACAACCCCGACTGCATGAGCTATATCTGGTCTCGTGCACACCATAGCATACATGAGGCTACCAACTGCAGATGCAAAAGGAACTTTAGCCATTTCTGCGTTCTTTTCGTTTGTTCTCGGAGATTGGTCTTTGGTAAGCTTGAAGTGACTTTCCAAGGGAGTGTTTCTCGGTTTAGTCTTCTCACCATTCATATTGAATTTCTCCAACACTTTCCCAATGTACTTCTGCTGGGATAGTGTTAAAGAACCATTCTCCTTGTTTCTAACTATGCTCATCCCGAGTATTTGTTTGGCTGGACCCAAATCTTTCATTTCAAATTCTTGAGACATTTGTTTCTTTAACCTGCTGATCTCTTTCATATCTGCACCAGTTATCAACATATCATCTACATAGAGAAGTAGAATGATATATGAACTCTTGAACCTCTTCACGTAGCAGCTATGATCCATCTCACATCTTCTGTACCCTGTCCTTATCATGAAGTTATCAAACTTCAGATACCACTGTCTCAGAGCTTGTTTCAGCCCATATAAGCTCCGTTTTAGTTTGAAGACCAGATTTTCTTTACCAGCAACCTGAAATTCTTCAGTTTGTGTCATGTAGATGTCCTTATCAAGATCACCATGTAAAAATGATGTCTTAACATCTAGTTGCTCTAGTGTAAGCCCTCTGTAGCTACAATGCTTAGAACCAATCTGATGGTGGTCATTCTAACCACTGGAGAAAATATCTCATTATAATCCACGCCCCTTTTCTGTTGAAAACCTTTGACCACTAAACGGGCTTTGTACCGTTTAGACCCATCAGGTTCATCCTTGATTCTGAATACCCATTTGTTTTGAAGTGCCTTCTTGCCTGGCGGAAGCTTAGTAAGAATCCATGTCTTGTTCTTGTGCAAGGCACCCATTTCTTCCTTCATAGCCTGCTCTCATTGAAACGAATCATTCTGCTTTACTGCTTCAAGGTAACTTTCTGGTTCTCCATTTTCCGTCAAAAGAATGTAATTGACTGATGGACTGAATCTTTCTGGAGGTTTAGTGACTCTAGTGGATCTCCTGACCCACTGTGTTTCAACGAGTTGCGGCTGCGCGGGTGAAGGTGCTGATTCATCTTCTGAATTGTCACTATCAACAGAGTCTCCTTGGTTATCCTCAAACTCGTCAGTATTGGAATCATTCTCCGTGCTCCCACTGCCTTGAGTATCTTCAGTCTCTCTCTTTCTGATGACTTCATTTTCAAACTCAACTTGCTCTTTCTGAATCCTTGAGTTTGCTTTGCTTCTGTCTTTATAAAGTTCAGCCTCGTTGAATGTAGCATGCTTACTTCTGATTACCTTTCTGCTTTCAAAGTCCCAAAGTCGGTAACCCATGCTGTCTCCCCCGTATCCAATGAAAGTGTATTTCTTGGCTTTAACATCTAACTTGTCACCATCTTTCATAAGATCTTAAGCGCTGCAACCAAATATCTTTAAATGCCCATACTTGACAGCTTCTCCTTTCCATTCTTCCTCTGGTATCTTGAAACCTAATGGTACTGATGGCCCCCAGGTGATAAGATAAGTAGCAGTATTCACTGCATCAGCCCAGAACGTCTTTGGAAGCCCAACATTGAGTCTCATACTCCTGGCCCTCTCATTCAAAGTTCGGTTCATCCTTTCTGCCACTCCGTTCTGTTGAGGAGTGCCTGGAACTGTCTTTATCATCCGAATGCCATGTTCAACACAATAATCAATAAACTCTGTGCTAATGTATTCACCACCATTGTCCGATTTCAAGCATTTTACCTTCAAATTAGTTTCCAATTCAATAGCAGTTTTCCACTTCTTAAAAATATTGAAAACTTCAAACTTATTTTTAAGAAAGTAGACCCATACCTTGCGTGTTGAGTCATCAATGAAGGTCACATAGTAGCTTGATCCTCCCAGGGAAGAGACTGGTGTTGGGCCAAACACATCCGTGTGAACTAGCTCCAGCTTTTGAGTGTTCGGTGTCTGACCTGTCTTCACAAAAGAAACCTTCTTTTTCTTGGCAAGAACACAAGGTTCACAGAACTCATACGCATTTATCTTCCAAAAACCGTTTGACTGCCTTTCCGATTGAAGTTTTTGCTGAAATTTGGTATGAATGTACTAGGCTTGATGAAGAACATGCTCAAAATATTTCATCGAAAAATTCCACCGGGAAGGCCCTCAAAACGTGGAGGCCGCACGGCGGCTCCGGTAAGGTATACCTTACCGGAAGAGTTCCCTACACACACACACATATAGGCTAAAGGGTCAAATAGGCTCTTGAACTGACTTAAAGTGTTCAATTAGCCCCTTATACAGGAGGTTCTGTCCGGCCGTCTCTAATTGGGGCGGTTCCCAGTGGAAGTTTTTGATGAAATTTTTTGAGCATCTTCTTCATTAAGTCTAGTTTACCCATACCAAATTTTAGCTAAAAATTCAATCGTGAAGGCAGTCAAATGATTTTATGAAATGTACTGCGCTGTTTAACTTCACAGTTATCTTCGAAAAATCATTTGACTGCCTTCCCAATTGAATTTTTAGCTGAAATTTGGTATGAGTAAACTAGACTTAATGAAGAAGATGCTCAAAAAATTTCATCAAAAAATTCTACCGAGAACCGCCCCAATTGACGACGGCCAGGCAAAACCTCCTATATAAGGGGCTAATTGAACACTTTAAGTCAATTCAAGGGCCTATTTGACCCTTTAGCCTATATATATATAGAGAGAGAGAGAGAGGAATGTTCAGGTCCGAACATTCCTGGTCCGAACACCGTTCGAACATGGACGTTTGGGGCCCTTCCCGGTGGAATTTTTTGATGAAATTTTTTGAGCATGTTCTTCATCAAGTCTAGTTTGTCCATACCAAATTTCAGCTCAAAATTCAATCGGGAAGGCATTCAAATCATTTTTTGAAGTTGACTGCGTCAAAATATACATATAAAAACGCAGTCAACTTCAAAAAATGATTTGAATGCCTTCCCGATCGAATTTTGAGCTGAAATTTGGTATGGACAAACTACACTTGATGAGGAACATGTTCAAAAAATTTCATCAAAAAATTCCACCGGGAAGGACCCCAAACGAGGATGTTCGGACGGAGGGTCCTGTCCGAACGTGGGGACCTGATCATTCTTGTATATATATATATATATATATATATATATATATATAGGGATGAGTTCAAATGAGAAGACATCTTTTAAGACGTTAAGACTTTTTTTTATTTGATCCAAATTCTATATATATATATATATCTTGATTATGCCCAACTTAGGTTGCTCCATATTTAATCATCCTGGTTGCTATTAAACCCTTCCACAAATAGGTCTGCTAGTTGCTTTCTCATTTCTAAATGTGATGTAGAAATGAATCCAATTGAATCGTCTTGGGATCAGAATGACAAACCAATTTGATAAGCTTATTTCAATGAGTCATGAATTTGAAAAGCGTGTTAAATTATAAATTGCCAAATTGGACATGAAATAAATATGATCATATAGTATAAATACTGTGACATGTAAAATCTTTTATTACTCCTCATGCATAGGGCTTGCATAATGGAATTCTAAGTCATAATAGTAGTTTGACAGTTCCTATCCTCACTTGAGCATTGTAAAAGTACATTTCTATCTAAATCTTGTTTTATGGGATACAGATTCAACAAAAGGACTTCTTAAGAAATATTGACTTATTTTATACCATGTCAATTGATCTCTTATGAGAATCTCTAATTAATGCAGGCCATAGCTGTCTGAATGCATAGATATTACTAGAATTGAATCTCTTCAGGAATTGATCAAAATTCTCTTCCATATCACGGTAAAATGGCCCAAGTGGCTCCTCATTTTCTCATTGGGCAATTCATTTGGTACAAAGTTAAGACTTTTTATGGTCCCACTTGTTTGATTCTTGTATTTCTCATTTGCTGAATTGTTCAAAGGAATTCACATGAAAAGGAACTTCATTGTTAACATATTCTCATTAGAGTAATATGGAGTGCATGGTATTAGCAAAGGAACTGCATGTATGAACCTGGCAAGACATGAAAAGGCCTGCCCCCTTTTTTTTTTTTTTTAACTTGGCAATACCCAACATGCTGGCCAGAAAATGAGGAGTAATGGGGGCGGTTAAGATGCACTTATTGAATGTTTATCTCTATTAAGCATGTGGCTGGCAATATATAAGTTGCACTACCAAGATTGAGAATACATATTAATGATATGATGGAGCTTCAATTAGAGAGGTAAAAATCATGACTTGAATATTCTCATATTGAAGGAAAAGTCATGTGCAAGGTATGTCCATTTCTTCCACACCATCATCAAACAGAGGTTGTCTCCGCCTAATAAAAATTGCTGTCTTTTATAAATATGTATCTATGATGTGCATGCTACTAGTGGTTCATTTAAAATAGAAGACATGCTGAGACAAACTAAATATGATAGACTTCTAGTGTTTGAATAGAGGGGAAACTGTTCTGCAAACAGGGGAAGTTGTAAGTGGGTGGGAGAAATTTCAAGAAGTTAGATAAACGTTCAATAATGTTGTTGGAGATCAAGTTACAGACCTTGCTATTCGTTTAATGTGTATGCGGTCATTGTTATTTTTCATTCATTGTTTCCGTAGGAAAAGCTCTTTAAAAGGTCCACGATGATGGTGCTACTCATGAATAACATCTCTATAAGTTTGTTTGATATGATTGAAAGCAGTAAATTTGTGTTTGTGATCCATCCAGTGACATATTTTCTTAGATTGCAAATGAATTGCCTCATTGAAAGATCAATGAAAGTTTGGTCTAAAGAATTTGAAGGTAATGGATAAGATGATGAGATAATCTCCTAAATCTTGGAGGAAGTCTATAAATTTTGTTTAATATGGAAGAAGTGAAGAACATGTGTAACACCGTACTTATTGGTCGTAGACTCGTAGTAAACGAAATGGAACAATAGTTAATAATTTGATTCGCTTTCGTGGAATGTGAAGTTTTCTGTTAGCTATGACGTTTATAGAACTTTTTCATTATGTTTTTTAGTACGTCGTATTGTATTTCACTCAAATCTTTTTTTACAGTACATATTCAATTATTGATTTCTTGAAAAGATGATCTTTTAGATGAGTAATTATTTTCGAGAAGTACATGGTTACTTCCATTGCCAAGGGACTTCTCTCCATTTGAAATTGATAAGCATGACGGAATTTTATGATGAGGACCTTTTATTAACTAGCCTTGTTTTACTCAAGCAATAATATGAGACTTACATTCATGCGGTATCAGGTTTTGGTTAATTTTCTTTGTTGAAGACTTGGGATCTCTTGCCAAATAAATGGTTTGGACAACGACTTTTTTCCATTTGTATACCTATCAACGAGTTAGCACTTTGCAATTTTGCATCGGTTTTACTAGGTATAAATCTTTCAGTTGAAGCCATGAAAATTATCAAGACTGATGTACATAGAATAGAAAATGAGTGAATGAATGATAGCCTGGGAATAGAAATTTACAAGATTTTTGTAAGAACTAAAACTTACGAAACTTACAACGTTTTCAACATATGCTAACGTGCATAACTAAATTATCACCATTTATTTCTTCTTCTAGCTAGCTAGTATTGGCAAGCATATACATCATAGTCTCATACCTTATAACTAACGTTTCAAAATATACGGATAATGTGTGTCTGTCATTATTGTTATCAATTTAACATTTACTAAGCTTCACGCCTTCACATCATTCATGCAACCTGTCAATATTAATTCTTGGTTCCACTACTCCAAGTTTGCATAAAACCCTTCACCCCATATTCATGAATAAACTAAATTACGGATAACATTACGAACGTCAGTGGCCACTGGGCGTAGCTCATTTGATAGATAAGGAGTGCCACAAGGGCTCTTTTGCGGGTAAGTCTTGATTCGAATCTTGACAATTGCGATTAGAGGTTATTACGTAAAAATGAATAAAGTTTTTGCCCATAGCTTTACTCGCCTTATTCGAGTGTGAAATTGCGGCCCCTTGTGAAAAATGACGAAGAAATTATAAAAATGACAATGACGAACTGATGAAAAAATGAATGCCGACACGATCCAAAGCAAGTGTCTGATCGTGAGGAGGGGTGTTGTCCCACACCGGATATCTCTAAAACAATTAGGCACTATATTAAAATCTTGGGCTAATCCTCCTATTAGATTGACCTTTTTAGGATGAAACTACAAATTTTAACACTGCATCATTAACATTTAGGGTTTCTAACTTACTAAATGACATTTTTATTGTTTGATAGTGTAAAACAGTACACTAAGGGCATCCTTATTGTTAGGATTATTGAGGGATCAAATTAGTGACGTGGCAGATTTTTTAGAGAAGTATCATTGGGAGACATTGATTATTTAATGAGATTATTTGCTAGAATAATCCGGGATCAAAATATGAATCCGGATTATCTTAAGATTCCGGATTATCTTAAGATTATTTGAAAAGTATGTGTAATACGTTAATGTCGGACGGAGAAAAAAGCGGATTATTTGAAGATGATGGTTGGGAGGCATAAATGGATTTTGAGATTATTTAAAAATTAATTATGTAAGAATATTTAAAAGGCAAGAATGCTAGAAAATATGATTTTTACGGGATTAGGAATGGTGATGCTCTAATTGATGTATAACTATTTCAGTATCTCATCAATTAAATTAAGGTGACAACACCGGTACTCATTTTAAAAAATGAGGTACTGTACGTACCATTCACTTGATTGGTCTAGATCATTATATCATTTTTAATTTAGATTTAAATAATTCAACTGCAACATTCTGATTGATCCATGTGGATAAAGGTATGATACCTATGGATACCATAGAATCTACCTTAAATTAAATCTAATTGATCTTTCAAAAAAAAATTAAATCTTAGTGATGTAAATCAATAATCCTATAATAAATTAATGACATTATAATAAGTGTAATAGCATTATTTAAATATACTCCCTCCATCACGAAAATGTTGGCCAAAGTTGACTTTCACGTGTATTAATAAAGTAAAAATTGTGTGATTGAAATTTGTGCAGAAGAAAGAGAATTAACTTTAACCACTTATTTCTTACTTTAAATGAAAATGACAAATCCTTTTGTGACATCCAAAAAAGGAAATTTGGCCACATTTTCGGAACGGAGGGAGTATATTTTTATAAAGTTTAAAAATTAATGTATGACCTTAAACAACTATACAAATAAATTAAACAGTACAACAAACTAAAGTGAAAGGTATCGAGCCATTAATTAAGCCAATAAATGGAAAAGGCTATTGCCTCTTCCAGAGTTGGAGTCTTGCAGTTTTGCAGCTCAGCCGATGTCTTAGGCTATCCGAAAACCCAAGCATGAAAAATCAATTTTAAAGTTTTCATCCCTTTAGACCATTTGGAGTGGTGAGTTATTAGGAGTCTAAAATGTTAAATGTAGAATTTTTGGACTCCTAATTATGTGTAGTGGTAGTTTAAAAGGGTATTAAAAATGGAAGAGGGGATGAAAAGTATTAAATATAGAGGGTTGGTTAAGAGGGGAGTGGGAAAAAGAAAAAGAAAGAAAAAAGAAGAGAAAAAAGTATGCAGATTGCTTTTCTGGTGCGGATGATGTCATGCTGATGTCATCCCTGCATCATAATATCCCCAAAAAATTAAACTTGTACTCCGTATAACTTTTTTATTTTTTATCCAAAATTTTCAAAAAGTGTATCAAGATTCATAAATTTTTATGATCTTTCATATGACACCAATATGTAATATATAAAAATGATTTTTTTTTGAAGTTTTAACTGTTGAAGTTTTCTTGAGCCCCGGAAAAACATGAAACACAAATCTTTAATTCATGAAGCCTTCACAAATAATTGAATATTCCATAATCATACTTTACTTGAATTAAGTTCATATTTTGTTAACTAAAAAACGTTAAAAAATTATTTAAATTTATTTATTTTTACAACGAAATATGTATTTTTATTTCATAATTATTCAGCGAAAAAATTAAAAGGAAAACATTATTTATTATAATTTAATTAATGTTTTTCTAAGTTGATAGGTTAAAATATATGATGAGTGTATTTTATTGACGGTGCTTGAATGCAGGAAAGTGAGAGTCTAAACACTGTTTTCATATGAACGGAGTCCATATTTAACAATTTGGCCTCTCAACCACTCCAAATGGTCTTATGTGCTGCAAACCTAGTATACACGAGTGCCAAATTGGTTAGATAGCACCCATGGAGGGCTATCATTCACGGAGTATTCACGGAGAGAGAATGGTTGTTGCCGACTTGCTGCTGCGGTAATAACATCCCAGAATCTGGGGGCCATCAAAATAAAAATCCCAATTTTTTAAAATGTGTTAGTAACTTTTTTATTTATCGTTCCAATTTTAATAAAAAATATACCAAAATTCATAACTTTTTATGATCTATCATATGACACCAATATCATATATCTAATGTTTAAAATTTAAAAATATAAAATTTCATGAGATGGATATTTTTTGTTCAAAAATTTTGTTAAGTAGATCCAAGTGTTAAAATTAAAATCTCATGGTTAATATAATTTTTAGATCTTTCATTTTTTTTCAAAAATAGGTATAAATTAACAACAGAAAAATTAAACTCCAAATTCATTTATTTTACATCAAAATGTTTGACTTTTAAAATCATAATTATTCGCAAAAAATAATTATTTGGCTAAGTAGATCCGCCCCTGCGCCCCGGTCAACTATTTGGAAACCGAACTATTCTGGACTAGCGATTTTTTTACCTTGTAAACGGGCAGAAACAAAAAAATAGGATGGGACCAAGCCAGAATCGGGATTGGACCGTCTGAGTACCCGGAATCGGCCCAAACCCGGATATAATCAAGTCAGACCCGAATTTCTCCACCCAATGACCGGACCGGCTGGTACGGGACCAAGTTCACCACTAACTGGAGGTAATATGAGTAAAAAAATGAAAGTTAATATTGATAAAATAAAGGATGTGAATTAAAAAAATATAGTGGAGTGAGAGTTAATGCGTGAAATTATTGAGTCACAGCCTCAACCTTTAAACATCACAAGTGCCTACGGTACCATATACTCCCTCCGTCCCTAAATGTTGTTCCAATTGCGGATTACGAATGTTGACCGACGATAAAGTTAAATGATCCATGTGAAAACTCGGATTATTTTTAGTAAATAAAATTTACATATTCAGAAACTACATTAAACCCGCTACAAAGCCTGCAAAAAATAATTCAACTTTTATAAAATTTTGATATAAAAAAATAAGAGTTTAAGAGTGATTTAAGTTGACCCTCGATAAACTAAATAAAACTTCTTTTAAGGAGAGATGGAGTAAATACTAAATACTAGTAGTACAAAGCCAAAAAATGCCAAAAATGGAAAGTTTGACAATTAGTCGGTTGGCTTGATGGTAAAGAGGAGCCAATAAATTCTACCTCCGTCTCAAAATGATC